TAAAGGGCTTGCCCTGGCTGTGTCTAGGTTAGCATCGTTCCCTGATACTGCCATCACATTATGCATCCATCAACAGATTACTCCTCTGATGGCGTTAGATGCCTCCTGACCCAATCGCTTTCTAAAAGTTCATCAGACAACCCAGTCCCCAGAACATGGCCTTCGGGGAACATTTTAGATTCCAACCACAACAAAGTAGACCTGGGATTCAAGGTCATGTGTGTCTGACCTGCTCTTACCCTTTTAACCCCTCCTTTCTTCTCCGTAGTTAAGATACTACTCTTCATGGGGACCTTATTTTGAAATGCTTTGCCACCTCTTCCAACACAGATTAATCTGTTTTAAAAGAATATAGTTTATAGTAATATAGAATTACTAACTGTAAACCTATTCCTGGTTGAGGTAGATCTGACATAAGATTCTCAAAGGTAAAGTTTTCAGTGTGTAAATATATAATACTTGAACTACTAGACAAAAACTTTGCAATTTTATTTTTATAGGCAAATTACATACGTGTTCTTAAATCAATGACTAGCAATAAACTAAGAAAGCAGAGACCTGAATTCTACTTTTGACTTTATCTTCGAGTAAGTCATTTGGGTTCTCTGTGTTTCAGTTCTGAATTGAAAGAGGGACCTGACAGCTACAGTAAAAAGATTTCATCGTAATTAGAACCCTAAGTCATGCTTTTTATTGCCCATGTCAGGAAGCCTCAGTTGGGTTTCTTTTGCTTATTTTTAAGCAAGAGGGAGAAGAGAAAATAGTAGAGAGGAGGACCCCTTCATCCCCATACACTGGGCTGGCTTTCTCTCTTGTCTGTGGGCCTTAACTGCCTGCCTCCAGGAGCCAGGGTGTCTGGCCTGGGATAGCAATGAACCTGCCACCATGCTGGACAAGGGGTATAGATACTTGCAGAGGAAGGAGATAACTCTAAATTTCCCCATAGTCCCAGTATTTCCCAATCACTATTTAACTTTTTCTGTTTCACCGCCCTATGGGTAAGGACCTGATGACCATGTCCTAGCTATTGCTATAAGATTGATGGGTAGTGGCTTCACAGTGACGGGTCCAGGCTCAACATGCAAGAATGCCGTGTTGGATAAATGATGCCAGTCATGGGTTCTGCATGTATGGGGTGGGGGGTGATAGAAGTGGCTGATATCCTACCTATCTGATATCTGGCAGCCCTAACTCAAGGTAGACATTCAAGAAATCTTTGATCAGTAAACAGCTATTTTTAACAGTGTTAAGTCTGTTGTTCTTGTGTGGAAAAAGGTAGTCCCAGAAGTTGGCTCATAAATTTCTAGAGAATTTAGAGTATCACCCTATAAAGAGGGGGCATCTGTTGTTGATTTCTCAGAGTATGGGTCACAGAATATGTGCATTAATTTCACTTAGTGTCTTACTCACTTTCTCTTTGCTGGGACAAAATACCTGAAGTCCACATCTTAAAAGAGGAAAGATTTATTTTGCTCATGGTTTTTGGAGGATTATGATCATAGTCAGCTGACTTCAAGGCAGGAAGGGTATGGTGGGAGGGTCTAGTGGAGGGAAGCTGTGAACTTCGCTGGTGGCTGGGAAGCAAAGAACAAAGAGAGAGGCTGGGGTGGGAGATGCACCCTTCCAGGCCAGGCCGGAGTGACTGCCTCTTCTGACCAGACCCCACCTCCTGCCGGCATATTCAGCTCTGTACTCACGGATGGCTGAATCCACTGACAGCCCAATTGGCTTCCACATACAGGAGAATTTGGGGAAACATTTTAGAGATAAACCATAGGTGTAAGCGGCTTAAAGTACAGATTCCTGAACTTCCTCCTAGATTTTAAAATCTCTGGAAGTTAAGGCTCAGGAATCTGCATTTTCTTACGTGTCCTCAGTGGTGTGTATGTGTGTGTGTGTGTGTGTGTGTGTGTGTTTGTGTTGAAATGGGAGAACCATTGCTTTGTAACATTAAGAAACATTGTATTTTAAAATGGCAACATGTTCATTTGTCATATCATAATCTCACCAAAGAAGAAGGAGCACCACTTTGCAATGGTGCTGGGGTTCAGTAGGTCATAAAATACAAAGAGCTTGATTGAATTCTTCTGTGTCAAGTATGGGACTGTAGGAACAAGTAAAAACTTCTTTAGAAAGTCTCATAACTTATTCAACCAGGTAACATTAGGCAAGGTCACAGACGTATTGTGTATTTGTGTGTGTACACATAACTGCAAACCATAAAAAGGGGAACACGAGCTGGATGTGGTGATACATTCCTGTATCCCAGCAGGAGGCTGAGGCAGGAGATTCTCAAGCTTAAGCCAGGCCTGTGCAAATTAGCAACTAAGAGAGACCCTGTCTCATAAGAAAAAAAACCAATAATAATAAAAGGCTGGGCACGTAGCTCACTGCAAAGATCCCGGGTTCAACTCCCAGTGCCATAAAAAAGACCGTGGCAAGACAAGGTTCAGAGAACTATAACAATTGCTAACAGACAGAATCTACTTTAAGCGATGCGCAACTTCTGGGAGATAACAGTAGGGAAGGAAAGGAAAAAATAGGATGAATGTTTGGTTTACCTCATCATATGAGACCAGGACAGTGTTGCTAAAGGGATATACGCTTAGGGCCAGGCACCCTGAGTTTGAATGTGAAATGACACTTAACCAGGTCCCTCATGAAGGAAATTATTAGTTCTTCTATCACTTTGTTTCCTTATTTGTGGAGCTGTATACTGTGGAGCCATTCAACTGGCGGCACAAGTGGCAGTGAATGTTAAGGGAGAAAACATACGTGAAGTGCTGGCATGCAATAAACACTTCATTAATGGCTTTCACTGGGAAGAGGTCAAAGCTAGAATG